ACTGAAGGTGCAGGCTGCTATTAGTGTGTCCAGAATCGTGGCAGTTTAATATACATATTAAATGCAACTGGACTGGTACTGGAAAATTGGACATCACTCAGAATTTAAAACTAGCTGCACCTAGCCTCTCACTTCAGTGAAGAGCGTTAGAAAGCAAGGGGGTTTATTTTCTGCCAAATTAACGCGACAGATGGACTTACCAAAAGGACAGGGACAAGTGGATTTCTCTAATTCTAATCGGAAAAAAGGCTCTAGCCACACCGCTCAAGTTGTAGAAGGCAAAGGCGGGGACTGGGAGAATGAAGGCCCGCCCACTGTAGGAGAAGACCAGGTTTGAGACTGCCTAAGGAACCTGAAGGTGCACAAGTCCATGGGACCTGATGAGATGCACCCCAGAGTCCTGAGGGAACTGGCTGATGTAGTTGCCAAGCCACTCTCCATGATATTTGAAAAGTCGTGGGCAAAAAAGTCCATGGGACCTGATGAGATGCACCCATAGGTCCTAATGGAACTGGTGGACGAAGTTGCCAAATCACTCTCCATCATATTTGAGAGGTCGTGGTGGTCTGGGGAGGTCCCCACCGACTGGAAAAGGGGCAACATCACCCCCATTTTTGAAAAGGAAAAAAAGGAAGACCTGGGGAACTACAGGCCAGTCAGCCTCACCTCTGTGCCTGGCAAGATGATGGAGCAGATCCTCCTCGAAACCATGCCAAGGCACATGGATAACAAGGAGGTGATTGGGGACAGCCAACATGGCTTCACCAAGGGCAAATCGTGCCTGACCAACTTGGTATCCTTCTATGATGCGGTTACAGCGTTGGTGGACAAAGGTCGGGCAACTGACATTGTCTACCTAGACTTGTGCAAGGCATTCGACACTGTCCCGCATGATGTCCTTGTCTCTAAATTGGAAGGACGTGGATTTGACAGATGGACCACTCGTTGGATAAGGAACTGGCTCAATGGACACACACAAAGAGCTACAGTCAATGGCTCGATGTCCAGGTGGAGAGCAGTGATGAGTGGTGTGCCTCAGGGGTCGGTACTGGGGCCGGTGCTGTTCAGTATCTTTGTCCACAACATGGACAGCGGGACTGAGTGCACCCTCAGCAAGTTTGCCAACAACACCAAGCTGTGGTGTGGTTGACACGCGGGAGGGAAGGGATGCTATTCAGAGGGACCTTGACAGGCTGGAGAGGTGGGCCTGCGTAAACCGCATGAAGTTCAACAAGGCCAAGTGCAAGGTCCTGCACATGGGTCAGGGCAATCCCAAACACAAGTACAGGCTGGGCGGAGAGTGGCTCGAGAGCAGCCCTGAGGAGGACTTGGGGATACTGGTGGATGAGAAGCTCAACATGAGCCGGCAATGTGTGTTTGCAGCCCAGAAAGCCAACCGTATCCTGGGCTGCATCAAGAGAAGCACGGCCAGCAGGTCGAGGGAGGTGATTCTGCCCCTCTACTCTGCTCTGGTGAGACCCCACCTGGAGTACTGCGTCCAGCTCTGGAGCCCCCAACATAAGAAGGACATGAATGTGTTGGAGCAAGTCCAGAGGAGGGCCACAAAGATGATCAGAGGGCTGGAGTACCTGTCCTACAAGCACAGGCTGAGGGAGTTGGGGCTGTTCAGCCTGGAGAAGAGAAGGCTGCGGGGTGACCTTATAGCAGCCTTCCAGTACCTGAAGGGGGCCTACAGGAAGGATGGAGAGGGACTTTTCACAAGGGTGTGTAGTGATAGGACAAGGAGGAATGGCTCTAAACTAAAAGAGGGCAGATTTAGCTTAGATATTAGCAACAAATTCTTCACCATGAGGGTGGTGAGGCACTAGAATGGGTTGCCCAGAGAAACTGTGGATGCCCCCTCCCTGGCAGTGTTGAAGGCCAGGTTGGATGGGGCTCTGAGCAACCTGGTCTAGTGGAAGATGTCCCTGCTCATGGCACGGGGTTTACAACTAGATGATCTTTAAGGTCCCTTCCAGCCCTTACCATTCTATGATTTTATGAAAGATTTTGCCTTTGGGAAGACGAATAAGACAGCTTTCCCTGCCTGGGGAGTACATGCTAAATTCACATCCCCACAGTGACAGTCTGTGTTACCCTGCATTTCCAGAAGTCTCCCCACAGAAGTCAGTAGAGGGACCCAATACTTCCACAGTTGGTAGCCAGAGAGAGGAAGATCAGTCAATACCCCTGCGCAGAGTGAGCCCAAGCGCCCGGCGTCTGCGGAGCAGGGACAGCCAGGAACATGGTGGCAGTTGGGAGAAGAGCTTGGCCCATCAGGGCTTGCTCTCCCTCAGGTGTGATGAGGCACAGCCGCAGGGCATGAGCCAAAGCCGCTGAAGGACGGAGCTCACCCCACAGCCCCGCTGAGCAGGGGTCACTGCGACCCCGGGGACCAGCCCCTCCTCAGCAGAGCGCTGCAAAAATCACACCTCTCCAGGAAAGAGCTGCCACCCCCAAAGAGCCATCTCACCTCTTCCTTCCCACCCTACACACACTCCAGCACTTTGTTTTGTTTTTTATTTTTTTTTCCATTTTTCACATAACATTTTCAAAAACAGTATAGACCATGTTACCCTTGTTCACAACAACGCAAATCAATTTAAAACATTTACATTATGTAGGTCACTTGTTCCAGTCTACCTGTAAAACATTTACACTATGTGGTTCACTTGAACAAGCCTACCTACCACGAAAGCCTTCAGAACATTACCATACCGGCAGTCAGAGAAGTAAATACCACTTCATAAAAGATAAACCTTTGATTCTTTACATTCCCCTTGTATTGAAGACACCACTTCGCACGTAACATCAGTTCTCTGTATGCCTGATTTTTATCTTGCATTCACATTTCTTTCTCCTTCTGTAGTCTGGAGGAGGATCTGAGGTATTTAACTTTCTTATGGCACCAATACTCCATACACCACAAGTTCTACTTCTTTACCACTACTTAGTGAAATCCAGCCCGGCGCCTACAGCCAGATGTGTTATCACACTACTCTGGGAGGATACAGATGGATGGGAAGAACAAATCGCATTTTGAAAGTTTACACTTACTGGCAAACCTGATTTGTTCTGTAGCTACAGATTAGCAGTAGCTTCATAAAAATGAGCATTCCTGATGTACCTTTTTCATGTTCCTTCCAGCAATGATAAGTTCATCTATAGTTTTCTTCCTTCAAAGAACAGACATCCAAGTGGACTGACTGCTTTCCACACCTGCAGCCACCTTTTCTCCCATCTGCCCATAAAATATGTGTATTCTTTATCATAATCTTTAACATCCTGAACTTGGAAACAGTAAGTCCTGTGGTCTTCTTTGGTTCCCATTGACTCAGTCTGTGTCAGAAATCTAATCTCTGTGCCTGTATCCTCATAGCAAAGATTTAGAATATTTAAAGGGAGACTCTGGCTTAAATCTCACAAAACGTGAAGATTCTTGATATTAGATTGAAGGGTTTCCTAATTCAAGCCACATCCTAGTCTTTAAAACCCTTCCAAATATTTATTGGGTTAAACTCAGAACCAGCTATAAGTGGTGGTGGAAAGGAATTAGGTTATGGCCTCTCAGATACATGCAGGTCATTCATTTCCCTAGTTTGTGGGACCACACGCAGTTCTAACGTTCTTATTTTACAATTTGTTTCTTTGGAATCCATGTTTTTCCTGATTACTTTTTTTTCCTCCAGGGTTTGAAAAACCTCTGGGCTGATTTACCTGAACAAAAAGTTTTATTTTCGGTGTCTGTGAGAGGTGTCAATTATGAGTCTGTAACAATCTGGACCTTAAGGCTGGCTCTCTTCCCCTCCCATACAGATGAACATAATACACGTTATACGTGATGGGGCTATTTCTTGGCTATCCTAAGTGTTATCTCTTGGAAGAGGAAGTAAACAAGTCATTCTACTCATTCTGATCCTCAAAGTACAACTTCGTCACGGATTATTTATTGCTCCCTTCGGATTTATGTCAAGACTGGAATCCAGTCAGATTAACCTAACGGGCAGCGTTTTGCATCGTGAGCAATCAATTTGCACAATTCCATCTAGATGACACAAGGTTCCTGAAGCTGCACCGCCTTTAGGCTGGTGCAGACTCGTTTTTTACGGGCATCTATGCCAGACTTTTGTACTCATATCAGAGAGGAGAATCAGGCCAGTCATGAAAGAGTTAGAGGCACAGAAGGGCAAGAGTCTACGTTATTACTGGTAATTTGTCAAATCACTTCCAGGAATAAAACTTTGTATTAGTCAAGTGACTCTCAAAACACTAAAACATCCCTCCAAATTCTTTTCTTGGCAAAGATAACAACAAGTCACAGCTGCTTGTGAATCTCTAGCTATGAGATATTGGTAGATAAAACCAAACTGAATTCTCCAGTGTACAATTATCTGTTATGCTGATGTAGTTATCTCTGGGGAGGGATATTCTGAGACGGTCCACTTAAGCAAACACTAATCTAAATGGTGAAAAAATTCAGATTTTCTGTGGAAAAGTTCATAGATATACAATTACCATGACAACTGTATTAGGCTCTGGAAAAGCAAAAAACCTGGCTCTTTTTAGACTGAAGTAAAATAAAAAGAGTTTGGATGCATAAGAAAACTGCATTTCAACTCTGGTGTGGAACAGTCCTTCTGTAGCAAGCTTTCTTAGCTTCCGTTTTTAGGCTTTAGGGTCTTTCTTTTCCTTTTTTGAAATAATAAGACTTTTGGATTTCCCTACTTTTCCTATATCCAGGGCATGTTCCTGGTATTCTACAGATTGCACCTTAGCTGCAAAATAATACAAGTAGGTTTCCTGCATCTAGGCAGCATAAAAATTCAAACTTATATTTATAACGTAACCAGATCGTAGCAGATTTGAAGAGTAAAATAGCTGATGTATATCCATCCACTGGCAAAGCAGTATGTTTGGTCTGAAATGTCTCTCTGTGTCTCATGTGAAAGATAGCCGGGGTGATATTTTGTTCTGTTGGTGGTTGGAGAATAAAGCAGATTTTAAACCTTTGCTATTGCGTATTTTTTATCGTCTCTCTGCTTCCAGCACTTGTGTACGCACATCCCCATCACGATCACGCAGGCCAATGAGACAGGAATCACTGCAATGTACCAGGACAAGCCAGCAGCTGGAAAAGTAAAGAAATTAAACATTTTCAAAAAAACCTCCCAAGAACATAGTTCTCTAAGTTCAAGGAGGAAGAGGAGAAATCACAATAAGGAGGATGTCTGCAACTTAACCTTCCAGCAGGGTTGATCACCTGTGAAAGGGAGAGGCCTATTGACTGAGTGCTCTGGGAAATGAGTTTATGAAGACGAGGAAGAATTGGAAAACAACAGAGGGTGAGAATTTAAAGTTCAAGCTATTTACATACACACGACTCTTCCCAGCCCCTGCTCAGGGCAGCTGTGTGCTTCCTATCTCAGTCTGGTGGAAGCAGAGACACTCCACACAGGAAATAAAAGCACGGTGTGAGGCAGCAGTACATAACAGCTAGTCCACCCTCAAGCTCTGTGAACAATTTTTCTCATACAGAGCGGCTATTACTAATGTTCAAGCCAAGACTCTGAGCTTTTTCCCAAAATACAGCTAATTTCCAAGACCAGTGTCCATCCAGACCATCTGGGATTATTCCAGACTACACAGGTTCATGGATTGCCTCCTCTGTAGTAATACCTGTGTCGCCCATGGAAGACAAGGGCAGCACATCATCTAGCAGAGCGAGTACAAATCCTTCATCATAGGATGCTAGAGTGAGTCATGAGGTGTAACTCATAATGAAGACTGTAAATGTTCATGTGCCTTTCTAAGACAGTGTGAGCAAGCTTTGGTCATTCACCAACGTCATGCAAAGAAACAATTAGCATTGCTTCACATTGTTAGTACAGCTGGTTCTTAGCCAATGGTCTAATCACACTGCAACATTAATTGCACTGAGCTTAGGGCTTCTCTCCCCATCGCTAGGAGCAAAAATAACAGCACCCATCATAATTTACACTTCTTGTTATTTTGGCTGCAGTCTGTGCATGAGAAGAAGGAACACTCTGATCTTTATTCTGCTATTGTCTTTTTTTCCCCACTACTTGTTGAGGAACTAGAGGAGATCTGGCCCCATTGCCCCCAGTGGGAGTTTGCCAGTAGTCTCACTGGAGCCATCGTTTCACAAAGTGTATCTAAATTTGAGCCCTATCCAATGAACAGATATAGCAGCACAGATCCTTATCCCTTCAGAAAATGTCAGTGAGTGATCCCCAGAAAGTGTGTTTCGTGACCAGGCTATTCCAAAGTCCACAGGTGAAAGAGGCAACCAGTTTTTCCCCAGGCAATAATTCAACCCAGTACTAGCTCTGACCGTATAAAAGGCTTGGATGAAAATTTAGCATGAGAATAATGATACAAATTACAGCATGTTTTTCTCCCAAATAAGCAGTCAAACTAGTTACCTTCCTGTTTGACCCTTGTTGGCAGTACTTGGTAGCCGTATCTGTTCTGGGCCAGGCACGTAAAGTCTGTGTAAAAATCCACTTTTTCAACAGAATCAAAAATCAGTGGCACTTCAATGAAGTTTTCACCATTTTCTACAATTTCTCTGGAAGAAAAAGAAAAATTTAATGTTAAATCCTTTTATAAGCTGGCTTTTCTCTACTTGATGTGTTCTTTCTAACAGCACGTTGCAAGAAAATGCATTGGATATTTGCTCATTTCTGAACTAGCTCCTCAGTCTTAGAGGACACCTGTGTCTCCCAGCCCAGTTGTGCCAACTATTTGAGTCTCAGCAGTCAATGTCCATCCTGCACTTGTTGAATCTTCCAGGAAAAAAGGTGATCTGGATTTGTCTTGCAAAAATAAAGAAAAGGGAGGGAAGAAAGGCAAGTGGAATTCTGTATAGCTTTGATGTCTCTACACAGCATTGTGGAAGAACATAAATTTCTTCTCTCTGAGTACCTATTCATTGCTGAGGCTAATTCTTACTATCAGCTGGAAGAGGACATATGGAGAACATATCCTGCAAACGCTCACTCAGCAAACTGAACCACTATTCCTGTCCACCACACGCCCAAAGCCAAGAGCGCAGTACAAGAAACTGTCTGGGAAGCCTCCAGCTTATTTCAACCTGATTGTTTTGTCAGTCCAACTATTTAATGTCATCTTCTAGCTGCAGTCAAACATTGTCCCTTGATACCTTTTAGTCATTGCTGGAGAAGTTGTCCAGCTGCTCTTTAATTGACCTGTTCGTGAGTCTGCTCTGCGCTGCAGTAGTCGAGTTCCCTGTGCGCGCCTCCCGGGACTGTACCGCAGGAAGGCAGCAACACGGCGGTGGGTGCTTTGCCAGAGATTCCTGCAGGGAATTTATTTTCCTGGTGGCATTTGACCGGCTTTGCCTTGCTGCCATCTGAGGGCTTCCAGCAGAACCGGGGTGTCTCCTACACCGTGGGCTCCGCATGAGCCCTAGCTGGCACGGTCCCTGTCCTCATGCAGTTGTATAACAATGTACAGCAGTAGTAATCATACTGGTGGTAATAATAAAAATAATTTTTAAAGTCCAAGTAAGAAAGTACATGTGCTGCTCTATTCTAAAGCCTGCAGAGAATACAGCCACAGTACATTCTATGGCCCCTGACCACAGGTTTAATGCATTGTCACTTATCCGTGTGAACAACATTATAAATTAATTGTCTGTGAGGAATGTGAAAACACATCAGGACTTGGGCGTACAGCTGAGTTACCATGTTACCTCTAGCTGCAGCTGTGCAGTAAATGAAACATCATCTGGCACTGATGGCCACAAATGGCCAAAACCATCTCACATCCATAACTGTTAAACACTCTTGTCCCTCAAAATAGGGATGCCATATCCCCAAACTCTGTTGAGAATGGTCCCTGCCCCATGCTAAATCCTAATCAATAGCCAGGAGCCCTCTGGGAAGGTTCTAGCTGGCAAGTAAGCAGTTTAACCATTAACAGCAGAGGCAATGGCATCCCAGAGCCCAGGAACCTTCCCAGCTCTGTCCACCAGTACATGCAGAGCCACCGTGACCCAGGTGAGGGTGATGATATTTGTGGATGCTCTCAGCTTGATCAAATGAGAGATAAAACACACCCACGTGGACCTCAGTGAAGAGGTTTCAGCTGATAGGTTTACCTCACATTTGCAAAGCGCTAGAAGCGTGCCCGAACACAGTGAATTAGCACTGCTCAGGCGACATGTGACAGGTATAGAAAGCAGATCTTTTCCCTCCTTTCCTAGTGGGAAAATCCTTGAGGCGTGCAGCTGTGAGGCAGCTGAGAGAAGGCTCCACACCATGGGGAGAGACAATGGATCGGGGCAAGAGGGTGTGGGACATCCTGCTTCTCCCCCCCGCCAGCATCCCCCCTAGTGCTGCCCTGGAGCCAGCTCTAGCACTCACTGGGTGTCTCTGTGAGTCAGTTTAACTTACTGTTGTGGAAAATTACAACTGTAAGGGGAAAAACAATTACATTAAAAAAAAAAAACAAACCCAAACCACTGGATAGTTTTCTGTTGTCTTAGTGTGTTCAGAGAACTTCATGAATGTCAGGGAGAGGATGTTGCTGTTTCGCTGGCATGGGGCAAGGAGAGAGATAAGAGGAGCACTGGGAAGGATCAAGTCCCATTGCTTTCCGCTGCAAGTCAGCTTACACCGGCTCAGCTGCCCATGAAAATGTGCTTCAAGTTTAAGCCTCAAAGTTGGCTCATTTGCAGTATACCAGGAATAAAAACTAGAGACAAAGAATTGATTTTGCCCTGACTGGCCTGGTTTTGGGTTTTTCTTGCTTGCCCGCCTGTTCTTTCCTCAGGTCTCACCTTCACTTCAGTTCCATCCATATCCCATTTCGCTACCTGACATTCAGCTGCACCGAGAGCCCCTGTAACACTGCAGGTTAAAACAACAAGCACAAGGAAACACTTGCAGCCGAACTTACTGTCGCTCTCCTTCTGTAACTCTGCTTTGCTTGTAAACCACATCGACGGTGGTGTCGTTTGCTAGCCATTCCACGTCGGTATGGACGTGGCTGCTCAGTCCAACAAACACCTTGCACGGGAGAGTCATCTTGGAGCCTGTTGGTAAAAGAAAGGTTAAAAAAACCATTTGGATGCTTATGCATAACTACTCCTTCTCTTAGTGAAAGCCAACATCTCCAGTGAGAGATCAAGTTCCCACAGACGTCAAGCACCACTGCATTCAAAACTGAAGTTAAGCCCCAGATTGCTTTTGATCTCCTACTCCTTGGCAGCAAGACCCTTCAGTCTAGCAGGCCTTCCCACTACTAACCAAATTACTTTCCCATTGCAACAGTTAGCAACTCTTGCACTAGACACATTCCTCAGGAGGCAAAGCAGTTTTCCTGTGGCCTTGCTCCTTCTGACGTTTCGCAGCCAGCCCAAAAGGCACGGTGTGATTTACCACTGTGGAGCAACTGCGTCAACCAGCAGTGTAGCTTCATGCAGAGCTGCTGTGGGCAAGGGTGTTCAGCTCAAGGTGGGACCTCCAGAGATAAAGTGATCGTGCAAAAATTCAGAAATTTTTCTGTAATTATTGTAACTCAGAGCTAAGGATAAAGAGCCTTCAAACTGGTGCATATCTATATTTTATGGAAAACACAAGGCTCATTGATGCATACAATTTTATTATTATCTCTGTGCAGATGGTGACGAAAGGGATATGAAACACTCCACGGAGCTAGATAGGAAAAAAAAAAGACTTGGTAGTCCTACAGTGATGGAAAGAAAAGTGGCAGGGAAAACTAAGACACCATAGGACACGGCTGTGTGTATAATACCCAGGTTAAAAAAGCTTTGTGTACAATACACCTGGTTCTTTCTGGGAAGAAGAAATGCAACAGGAATTTCTTATCATAACATAATTTTCAAAGAAAATTTTCAAATAAAATTTTGTTTGAAGCTAAAACCTGCAGCAGTTCTGCAGCTTCTCCTACATGGAAGACAGCATCTAGCTGTGGGCAATAAGAAGCAAAAGCTATTCCAGCACCGACCCTCAGCTAATATCATCGAGATCCAAAGAACTACACCAATTTATGCCACCACATCACACCATAGGAGCACCTGCTCTGATTTTGCCTGATTAGAGGTTTCCAGAAATAACGCTGGGCCTCACCGAGAGCAGCTGATGTTGTCTTTTGCGTTGGATACACAATTATCGGGGTAATTCTCTTTTCTTGTTCTGGAGAGAGAAAGGGAACAGTCAGTGCCGGCAAAAGACAAAACGGGGGCGTTGCCCCAGAGCTCTAGGCAGAAACGGGCCGCTTTGCTCAACACCTTTCACCCCCCAGGAGAGCTCTGATGGTCACACCCGCTGGCGAAGGGAGGAATCCCAGCCTCCAGCCCCGCGTTTGCGGACACGGACGGGAACCAAGGCCACGTCTCGATCCTGGAAGCCGCGCCAGGTGGAGCTGACGGCAGGCCAGCGGGTGTCCTTCGGCAGCGAGCACTGACACCAGGCGCTGGGGACGGTCGCTTGCGGGAGCCCCCTGCGCACCCCCGCA